CGCTGGTACAGCTGGGCCACCATCAGGATGGCCGCCACCGTCTGCTTCTCCGCGTGAGCCACGATGGGCATGTGTTTGGGCCACTTCTCAAAGTGCTTTAGACAGAAGCGAATGGTTAAGAAGCTCTGCTACCAGCCAGAAGCTCCGCCCCCCCCACAGCCTTTCAAATAAAAACCCCTCCAAACTCCCAAGTTAACTCATTCGCTGCCAAAGACGTCTATAGACGTCAATTCAAATCCAACCGCTGGCTGCCAAAGACGTCTATAGACGTCTTTTATGTTTTTCAACGCGAGTGACTTGGGGGACGATCTGCTAAAGCTTGTCCGTAAATATCGGCTTCTAGACAGAGTATGTAGTAACAAATTGACCCTCTAGGTGGCAGTGCCACTTTTGATGGGAGATGAGCATAGACTGTAGGCAAATAAAAAAAAACGCAATGGTTCGCTATGCGAAAAATGGCGCCGGCGAGACGCAAGTCGAGGAAGAACGGAATTTTTTTTTTCCTGATGAAAGAAGAGAGTCTACTCTTTCTTTTGGTGTGTTTGGTGTTTACATAGTCAGAGCACAAACTATTCTGTGGCTCTTGAAAAATCAGTCAAAATGCTAAAAAAACTCTGTTCTGAAAATGGCTGGCAGTCAATGAGTTAAAGAGTCTTGAAATGGAAAAAGAAAAAGGAAATTCTACACACCTCCATCCACAGAGAGACGTTGTCCATCTTCAGGGTGGAGTAGGTGTCGTTCAGGTACATCTTCAGGCCGGCGGTGTGGCTGGCGATGTGCGGCAGCTGGGCGGCGTTGTCCGAGGCCGCGCCCACATAAAGAGCATAGTCGCACCGGCACCCGGCTTTGGCCAGCTGGGGACGCAGAGGCTCATTAACCAACAACCCAAAGCCAGGCATCTCCCCTTTAGCTCAGAACTCAATCACTCCGGTCATCAATGGATTGTCGTCTAGCAGAGCCTTCACCACGCTTAAGACCATCCAGACTGTTTAATGTGTCGTTCCAAGATGGAGGAACGACCTACCAAGCTACAAGAACAGCAGAGTCCCTGTCTGTCTTCAGAAACTCTTGAAGACCCCCCTCTTCAAACAGCATCTCCTATCCTAACCCTAACCCGTACCTCTACCCCCCACAGTTCTTATCCTAACCCTAACCCGTAACCTCTACCCCCCACAGCTCCTTCTGTAGTCCCTCTACCTCTATCTCACCACTGACTCTGATCAGTGTTTCTCCTCTGTATAGCTTATTGTCATTGTGATGAGAAATGTAATATAGTGTCTACTCTGTATGTCGCTTTGGATAAAAGCGTCTGCCAAATGCATAAACATAAACAAACACAGAAGGAGCCAGATATTTTTCCCCCATTTCCCCTCCGTCGCCTCCCCGTTTGGAGTCGAGTCAAGGCGTGGGGAAAGCGAACGGCGGCCCTACCCGCTGCATCAGGGCCAGGGAGCTGGCGTCGGTGATGGCGGGGGAGGTGTTGGGCATCGCACACACCAGGGTCACTCCCCCCGCCAGAGCAGCCGCCGTGCCGGAGGAGAAGTCCTCCTTATGCGTGCCGCCGGGCTCCCGCAGGTGAACATGCACATCAATCAGACCTAAAATTCAACAAGAAAATAAAGAGATTAAGCAAAATTTAGATTTTTTTTTTTTTTATAGAAATAAGTCTCCTTAAACCTTTAAAGCCTGGTCCAAAAACAATTGGAAGAATATTGGATTTTTTTTTTAGTCTGAAGTCTTTCTTTGGCCCCTCTACAACATATGAAGAAAAAAAAATATATATATTTTGATCAAATTAGTGTGAAATAGGTCAAAAATATGCTTTCGTGTAGTCTTCTACTGGCTGTTATCAGGTTTATCTGAATGTGTACAACAGGGGTTTGAGCAAAGCTTTTACCATTGAATGATGCAAAAAGTCGCAGATCCAAAAGACTTCAGAAACCGTGTGTATCAAATATGATACATTTGGCATTACAGGGATAAGGACTAAAAAGTAGGTTATTGGTAAAGAAATACAGATGACTTTACTCATATATGTAAGTTAATGGTAGGAAAAGAATGTGCCAAAATAGTGAGATCTTCCATTGGCTAATAAATTAATTATGTTTTGAGACAGCTTTAATCTGACTACTTGGTTTGTAGCCACAACAATGAAATATGGAGCTTATTTGTCTGCAGACAAAGACTCTATGACACATGTACAACTTAAATAGCAACAAAGAATTATTTTTTTCTGGGTCTGCTGAAAATTAGTCTTATTATGTGTCCATAAGCCTCCTGATGTGTAATGGTGGTAAATTGTGAAGAGCCAAGTTTCAGAGGAAGCTCAAAACCAACAAGAAACGCTATTGGGGCCGTTTTAATTCCTGAATTTTAGTTTTCTGAAGCAGACGCTGCCTCTGGTTGTCACCCAGAGGCAGAAAGAGCAGCGGATGAGAGGCGGGGTCTCACCGGGCAGGCGGACCAGCGTCTGGGAGGCCATGCTGTCAATGTGAGTCTTCACTGGGGGAAAACTTCCAATCTGACGGAGAGCCTGCAAACAGGTCGCTCCGAATGAGTCCAAACAAGCACGAGAAGCAACAACGGACTCTGAAACCCGGTTTAAAATGGATCAGAGAGTTCACCTGAACAAAGAGCTTGGTGCATTTGATGTCGATGATGAGCGGGACCGAGTAGTCCACCGCCATGCGCCTGGTCCTGTAGCCTCTGGTGACAAAGGAGGAGATCCTCCGCCCGCCGCTGTTCCTCATGGAGAGGTTCACCACCAGGTCGAAGTGGTTCTCCTCCAGGTAGTTCATGATGCTGCGCTGCTTCTCTTTGTTGGGACAGTCGCTGTCCTCCTCCTCAAACGGCCAATCGACGGCGGTCACCTGGAACCAGAGGGGCAGGCGGACAACATCGGTGCTACAGATACTTAGATACAGTTACACAAAAAAATACAAGCAATCATTTTACGACAGATAAAAGGCATCATGTAGTATTTAAGCTGAGGATGAGCTGAACTTTTGTGGCCCAATTTCAGACCTGAGATGGTCCAAATGGTCCAAAACTGTCCTTTCTCCAATTGTAATTATATATTTATTAATACATTTCTGAGTTTGCATTTAACAGGACTGACAGATTTGGCAGATTTAAACATAAACTTTAAACATAAATGCATTTTGATCCATACAAAGACACTTTAACTCTCCTGTTTTGAGAGGCAGTTTTCAGTCTTTCTCTCTTAGGCGTTTGGTATATCTGAAAACGTTCCCCCTTGAGCTTTACCTTGACCCCGTGCTCTGTGTAGAAGTCAGCCGTTCCCAGGCTGGCGTACAGGTCGTATCCCAGAGACTCCAGAGCCTGTACGGTGGGCAGCAGCTCACTCTTGTTCTACAAACCGAAAATCACAGCAAACCGTTTGCTTACATGGAGAACACAAATGTTAAACTAACAAAAGCCTTCCTTAAGCCAGGTACAATCATGTAAAAACATTTTTTCGGTTCTTTAGAAATTGGGTTTTTTCTGTTAGCCGTCTGTTCTAAATGCTTTAGTCATTCATTCTGTTCTGTGAAAAGAAAAGGATCAGACCCGTCTTTTCTCTTTTTTTTTTAAATATGCGATTTTTGCACTCTTTGGCAACTATTGAGAAAAAGAAGGTCGTCAGCTTCCACATGAAGTTTTACCTAAAATAAATGGTTCAGCTATTAGTTGTGATTCTACTGTGTCTATATTGCTGTTTATTTGTGATCGTTACTCTGCCAGAATGCGCAGCTAAAAGTGAAATCCAGGTAAACCGTGAAATAAAACGAGCTTTTGAGCAGGAGGCCTCTGTCAGGCACGCACCACCACACCAGATTTGTCCGGATGGGCTCTGACGTTTTTACTTCCGCTTTGTTTGGCAGAAACCAAACATCTGCTTAGCCCGGCCCCCAGCTGCAGCGTTACGGTCAAACGCATCACTTCTGCTGGCATGCGGATCAGCGGCCGCATCTGGACCCCCGCTGGTACCTTGTAGCTGCCGATGGACAGCAGGATGTTCTTCTTGGGGATCTTGAAGCCGGTGGAGATCATGGCCTTGAGGTAGGCCTCGTATCTGTTCTCCCCGAAACACGCCACCTCTCCGGTGCTGGTCATCTCCACCCCGAGGACCACGTCAGCGCCGGCCAGTCGAGAGAAGGAGAACTGGGGCACCTGGGGGATTGTGGGGGGGGGGTAAGGTGAGGAGTGCACTTAAGAGAACAGCAAACAAGAAGGGAAGCCCAGTTCCAGTCTGCGTACCTTCACCCCCACCACTCCTTTCCCTCTCATCAGACCCACTGGCTCCACATCCTCTCCCATGATGACCCGCGTCGCCAAGGCAACCAGGTCCACCCCCAGCGTCTTGGACACGAACGGGAAGGAGCGGGAGACTCGTACGTTGCATTCGATCACCTTCAGCTGGTCGTCCTGAAGGGGGACAGCAAATCGGGGAGTTACTGAGGGACAACCTTAAACCCCGACCTCTGGTTCAGATTTCAGTATTCAGGCCACAGGTTCCTCCTTTCTGCTACAACCAGCATTTGGGATGAGGGATTTTGGATGATGGGAACCGTTTGAAGAACAATCTGAGCAGCTGAAGATTTTGATTTTTTCAGTTTCTAATGATGTTTTTCCTGGCTGTAATTTCAAGGTTTTGGGTTTTATCAAGAAATGCTATGGATTACGAGTCTGTTTCCAAGACTGGAAGTATAACACAAAGTCTGAGAGTCCCCTGAATGCCTCACAGGGAGGTATTTATAAACAGAATTTTCTCTAACAGGTAAAATCCATGCAAAGAGAACCAGGCATTGGACGGGACCGGCCTCCACCGGGCTCACCTTGGCGATCAGCTGCAGGTTGAAGGGTCCCGTGACCTGCAGCTCCTGGCCGATGGCGTGGACGATCCTCATGATCCTGTCGATAGTTTTCTGGTTGAGGTCCTGGGGCGGCGTCACCAGCGTGGCGTCGCCCGAGTGCACGCCGGCGTTCTCCACGTGCTCCGACACCGCGATGGCGATCACCATCCCGTCACAGGCGATCACGTCCACGTCGATCTCCTGGAAACGGGAAAAGCGTTACGCTGCGAAAAGTAGTGAACACTTGGAGAAGCCGACAGATCGCCATACCTTTCGAAAAACACCCAAAAATAAGTAATTAAATAATTTTTTTGTACATAACAAAAGGGATACACGCCTGTTGAGGTAGTTTACAGTGTATTTTTCGTACAAAACTAAAGGGTGTACCCTGCCTCTCGCCCGTTGACCACTGGGATAGGCTCCAGTTCCCCCCGCGACCCCATCAAGGATTAAGCGGTATTGATAATGGATGGATGGATGGATGGAACTAAAGGGATACTCGCACGTTGAGGTAGTTAAAAGTGTATTTACAAAAGGGTCTAGCTGCACCTGTAGCCATCTACAAAACGCGTCCCGTACAAAACACACCTCCCGCCCAGCCAATCGTTGATTTTGATTTGGACATTACGTCATCTTGGATAGATTAATTGAAGTGAATCAAACGTGAGCATGATGCTTACTACCAGCAAGGTTGTAGTTAGGACGTAAAAAAGTAATGATAATCTTGTTCAATGTTGGGATTAAAGGAACAGTTCAATCGATGATCAAATGTGATGTACAATTTTGCCACGTATTTTATTTGCTTACATCTTCTAATTTTCCAGGGACTGGACACGCTTTAAATACGAAATTGTTAGAAATAGCATTTCTAAGTTAATTTGTAAACAAAAGTACTTGACTTTCGGTGTGGTTTTCTAGCAACCTTTTTGTTTATCATATCACGCATAAAGTAGTAGTAGTAGTAAACTTCGTCAATGTTAATCTCTTAGATTTCTGCTAAAGGTAGCGCATGCGTATTTTAACTATGGGTATGCTGACCTGACAGAACAACGTTAAGCCCTCCGACTCCGCTCGGATCGCGTCTAAAATGGCCCTCAGGACCCACCTTTGCCTCCTGTATGAACTTGGAGATGACGACGGGGTGCTCCTTGGACACGGCCGTGGCGTTGCTCAGGTACTTCTCCAGGTCCCGGTCGCTGTAGGCCACGTTCATGGCCGCGCCGCTGAGCACGTAGGAGGGCCGCACCAGGCAGGGGTAGCCCACCGTCTCACAGAAGCTCACCGCAGACTGCAAGGCAGAGGGAAGATGAGGCAGGGATGTCCCGATCCAGCTTTTTTCACTTCCTTTCTTTTTTTAAAAAAATCTTTTACATTCTCTTACAGTTACATTCTTGGCTCAAGATGTAGATTTAGGTGTTTTAAACATTTCAAATTGCCCTCAGAACTACGCATCTACCCACAAGATCTATAAGCAAAAAAATAATTGTGAGTCATTTGTATTTACATATACATCTTAGACCATAAAGAAAAGGAAAGACAAAAAGGGGGCAGAATAGCCTTATTCGTTTAACTTCTGTAGGTCTTGGCCATCGGATTTGGATGGTTTACTCTCAGGAAGTGTCTTGAGCTTTTCAAAATATTTTATTAATGGATTCCAAATACCATAAAAACGATCATTGGAACCTCTTAGTGTATATTTAATCTGCTTTTTTCACTTCCGATCCGATACAGATACCGGCCGATCTCGGCCTATCAGAGCATGTATTAAAGTTTAAAGTTATTTATCTACTTACTTAGTGGTCGGACTCATGTTGAACAGAGATTTACTCTGATAAAAACTTAATGGTTAGGATACAGACCTGTGGGTTAAGAGATGCTAATGCTAATGCTCGTGTGGGATCGGCCTATAAAAAAAAAAAAAAAACTGGATCTGGAGTTTGGATCTGCACTTTCTCCTGCCAGCCGATACGCAGTTTTTTGCAAATATCGGCGGCCGAACCGATCCAGATATCGGATCGGGTCGAGCCTAAGCCGAGGCCTTAACTGGTGGGAGACGTACAGAGCAACATTCAGGGTCTGGGGTTTGGGAGGGAAAGGCGCACCTCTGTGTCGGACAGCTCCTTCCACTGCGGCTGGCTGATGCCGATGGTGTCCAGCATGCGGGAGAACTTGAACCGGTTCTCGGCGCTGTCGATGAACTCGGGGGACGTTCCCAGGATGCGGCACTTCTGGCGGTGCAGGGACATGGCGATGTTGTTGGGCAGCTGGCCCCCCATGGAGAGGATCACGCCCTCCGGGTTCTCCCTCTCATAGATGTCCATCACCACCTGACAGGAAACACATCCTCTGTTTTGGAAAAGTTTGTCTGGCAAAGTGGAACTTCCATCTCAATGAATCCTTTAAACGGTTATTTGACGGCTCCGTTTCAAGCTTGTGAGAAGGAGTGATGCATGGAAATAAGTAAGATCTAAAAAAAGCGGACTTACCTCAAAGGAGATCTCATCGAAGTAGAGACGGTCACACATGTCGTAGTCTGTGCTGACAGTCTCGGGGTTGTAGTTCACCATGATGGTCTTATAGCCCATCTGCAAACATGTAGATGGTTCAATGTCACCAAATCCTTTTAAGCTTTTAGATTAATTGATTCCATCTTTCTGAGCTGATCTTAATAAGAGTGCACTACAATTCTGTGGTTGATAGATGCTTTTTTTTTTAGTTTTCTTATTTTTTCCTGGATAGTAGAGGACTTTGAATGTGGGATTTTAATTAATCTGATCTTGACCCAGGTTACTCACCATAACAGTAAGTTCATTAGTGAATGAAAAAGTCAATTAAAGTTACTCTAATGGTTCCAGACAGAAAAAGAGCAAGAGGATGTTGATTGTTTAAGCCATGAAAATAAAGCCATTTTGAAAGTCACATTTTGATTGAATAAAAACAACAATAACGTATAGGGTCCATAACCAGAACTGGAGCAGAAACTGAAGGAAGCTTTTTTTTTGGTAACTTTTTGCATGTTTTCCTTCAAATTTCCCAAAACGATCGACTCTCCCAATGAGGTAAATATCCTAAAACACATAACAGAATAGGAATTTCTCCTTGTGAGATCAATAATCAATACGTAAAACTAAAACAGACTTCCACTGAAGCGGAGGGAGACTGACTGGACTTTGACCGGACCTTCCTGAGCTCTGTGATGCACCCGACGGCGCACCAGTCGAACTCCACGCTGCTGCCGATGCGGTACACGCCCGATCCGATCACCATCACGTGCTGCTCGCCGAAGCCCAGGTCGTTCTCCGTGCCGTGGTAGGTGAGGTACAGGTAGTTGGTGTGGGCCGGCCACTCCGCCGCCACCGTGTCGATCTGCTTCACCACCGGGACGATGGACCAGTCGTGCCGCAGCTTTCTGACGGCCAGCTCAGTGCTGCGGGGCGGGGGACAGATTTTTCAGAGCGCCGGCCTTAAACCGGCCACGCCCTCCTCTCTCACCTGTATTGTACCGTGTACTAAATACCATATATAATCTGTGTTGGGTAAGTTACTTTAAAAATGTAATCCGTTACAGTTACAAGTTACCTTGTTTAAAATGTAATTGTAGTGTAACTTTTTCAATTACTTTTAAAAAAGTAATGTGACCAAGTTTTTAATGTGTATTGACCCATGATTAATTTTAGCATGTTATTATTAGCTATTGGCCGCAGCTAGCAGTTCAAGGCTAACGTCTTGTTAATGATCATAAACAACGTAAATAAATCGGAGACAAGGGGCGCAGCGATGGCAGGTCAGCGTTGTGCGCGCGCGGGGGGTGGTGGTGGTATCGATACTTTTTTAAATGAGTATCGTATCCGGATACAACTGTTAAGTATCGATACTTTTTTAAGTATCGATACTTTTGACAACCCTAATCTGAAATGTAGGACATGTCCGGGAAAAAGAGGACGTCTGGTCACCCTGCAGTTGGGTAGGCTAGGTAGTCTAGGCTAGGCTAGGTCATAGACATCGATAAACGTTGTCATGCATCAACACCAAACAGTCAAATATTAGTAAATCAATACGCTTCGTCTATCAGTGAGTTGCATATTTCGCAAAGATTTTTCTTTATATTTTTAAAAAAATGTAACTAAATTTGTAATTCTTAATATTTTCGGAAGTAACTGTAACTGAATTACATATTTTCTCATTGTAACTGTAACGAATTACAGTTACTCTTTTTTTGTAATTAAATTACGTAACGTCGTTACATGTAATCCGTTACTCCAACACTGTATATAATAAATGGACCGGAGCCAGGACATACGTTAACCGCCGTTTACTCGTAGTAGCCACACACTCACGCGCATGACACATTCTGTATCACTACATCTCCCCCTTTTAAACCAATCTTTCAAAGTTATTTACAAAATCCAGACTTATGTCTTTTCAAGCCGATACTATTATTTTACTTACCGCTGATCTCACTTAACTCAGGTAGGGGGTACTATTGTTACACTAACTTAAGATCAAACATAACTTCAAAATAAACTGTGCACATTTTGCATCGCGTCACACATCCCACTTCTGAAACCATGTATTGTACCGTGTACTAAATACCATATATAGTAAATGGACTGGAGCCAGGACATACGTTAACCGCCATTTACTCGTAGTAGCAACACACTCATGATACATTCTGCATCACTACATCTCCCACCTCTGGACGGCCACGGCGATCTGCTTATCGGAGAAACCCAGCTGCTTGGCTTTCCGCATCACCTCTGGAGGCATCGCGCTCTCGTCCTGGATGGAGAGTAGTAACATTTTCAACTCGATACTGATACTCAGGAAAATACTCTATACTCGATACCATTTTCGTTACCACAAGGATAAAAACAAAACCCCCCAAATTTAACTGAATTGTGTCTTTCATTTTAAACTGACCAGTTACTGATGTTATCGTGACTGGTGGCCCACATTAATGACCCTAATCCTAACCCTAACCCTCCACCCTTCATAATTGTGAGAAATAAATATTTTTTGGTTAAACTTGTTTGGACTTATTTGGCAAACCTATTTAATATACACTATTTAACATAATATTATGTATAGAGTTGAAGTGTTTGAAAGATTCATTTCACTATTTTTAAATTAATGTCTATATTGCCATGAAGCAATTGCGATTTTCTTTCCTGGGATCTTCCTATTGGTGATGTAATCAAAATGGCCGACTTGAATGTGGGCGGAGTTGGATATGTACTTGATTAATGGTAGCTTGTTATTATTAGCCGTTAGCCGCAGCTAGCAAGGCTAACGTCTTGTTAATGATCATAAACAACATATATAAATACGTAAATAAATCAGAGAGAAGGGGGGTGGGTATGGATACTTTTGAAAATGAGTATCGTATCCGGATACAACATTTTAGTATCGATACTTTTGACAACCCTAAAGGAGATTAGTTTTTTTTTTTCCTCTCGTAAAAAAACCCCCCACAACAGCGAGACACAGCAGCTTCAGACGGCCTTCCCCCAGCGTTTCTCACCTGGTTGTAGGTCTGCAGCAGCCGCTCGTGGTCGGCGATGTTCTTCATCTTGTGCAGGAACCAGCGGTCGATCTTGGTGAGCGCGTACAGCTGGTCCACCGTGTAGCCGGCCTGGAACGCCGACGCCAGCACGAAGATGCGCTTGTCGGTGGGAGTCTGGAGCTCCTGGGGAGCAAAAGGGGCAGAAGTAAGGCGTGACTCCAGGCTGGATTTAGAAGTTCTACACACACTGGACATCTGGCCAGGCATTCTATTTTTATTTATTTATTTAATCAGGACAGTGCACATTAATGAACAATCTCATACAGATTGTAAATGAGCCAGAGTCTAGCATAGTTGCTAATTTACATCTGTCGTCCTGATGCAGGAAGACAAAACAACACAAAATCACATAATGCAATATCAGTTAAAACAGAGAGACACACGTTCAGACAATGACATTATAAAAATAAAATTAGTGATTGCATGACTGGGAACTTTTGAGAAACAGTTTAAGGTGCTTTTTAAATGTGTATAAGAGTGGCTAAGTTACGATTAATTCACAGCATCAGAGGCAACATGCAGCTGAAAAGTTTTTCTCCATTTAAAAACTCAACGGCTGATGAGGAATTTAAGCTGAAACCACTTCAGGCCCTAAAGAGGCCTCAGGATCTGAGGTTCCTGTTGGTTTAGTTTAGGCCTGATGCACGTTACAGGGGTCTCATGTTTGAAGCTTGTGGCTGGCTTTAAACGCATAGAGCTGGACATTAAAAAGCATGGGATTAATTCCTTACCAGATAAGAATGTGCACGAGTTTGAGTTTGCAACGGACTGACATTTAAGGCAGCTGTGTGAGGAAACAGCCAGAGCCAGGCTGTGAATGCCTGATAGCTCACACTGCATTTGGGTTAGCGAGTCGGCTCAGCGATTCACACTACGCATGCTTTAATACACACCTTTTCCTCCTTCCAGTGGGCTGTTTTAGAATATATACAAGAGAACTTTTTAAAAATACACAAAGCCATAAAATGGGAACAAATATTGGTGCACTTTGATTGATGAGCTGCATTGTTAGACTAACTATTGTGTTGTGATGGCTCCACCTGCTGGTCCATGTGAGACACTTCCACTTAAAATGACAGGATTTAGTCTACATTTACTACCCTGACCATCACGCATCGCCATTCTTACCCCGGACACAGTTTGACGGTACAAAAACATAAACCATGGAGCATCACAAACCTTCTCAGAGACGGGTTTGATGTTGGGATCGAAGCCGACGCAGTTCTCGTCCACCATCCTCAGAGCTTTCTGGAAGGCCTCCTCGAAGCTCCGACCGATGGCCATCACCTCCCCTGTTGACAGAAACAAACCCAGGACGCCGTCCAGTCAAATCCGAAGCACCTGGAGTCTGACTCCGAGACTCTGAGACGCTGCTAAGTCTCACCAACGCTCTTCATGGAGCTGCCGATCTTGGTGGAAACCCGGAGGAACTTGCTGAGATCCCAGCGGGGCACTTTCACCACGCAGTAGTCCAGGCTGGGCTCGAAGTTGGCCGTCGTCGAGTTGGTGACAGAATTCCTGAACACAGAACGACATCACGTGGATTACTTTGCGAATGTTTAGTTTTTTTTCTCGTTTTTAAAGATTTGCCCATGCATTTTTCATTCTAGAGATGTTGCCTTGAATTGGCTATATAAAAAAAAAAGATATAGGATTTAATGTTATAAATCAATAATTTAAAGAAGCTATTAAAGAAGCTGGGAGTGGGCAGCAGCTTCTGGGAGAGTGTACAGGACTTTGGCAGACGTACTTGAGCAGTGGCAGCGGGATTCCCAGGCCCAGCTTCGCTGCCACGTAAGCTAACGGGTAACCGGTGGCTTTGCTGGCCAGCGCCGAGCTCCGGGACAGCCGGGCGTTCACCTCGATGATGTAGTACTGCAAAACACACGTGTAGGGTGACTATCGCACAACAAATTTGTCACTGAGGGAAGGACGTAGGGCTCTGTTTGACTCGCTGACTAATGATGAAACTTGGCTCCAATGCTGGTTGAAGGGTGTTTATTTTTCTTCTTCTTGCATAATACACGTTGAAAAGATTGTATATTGAATATAAAGATACTTTTGCTATTGATTTGTTACTTTACGGTTACTTTGCGGTTAATTTACAGTTACTTTGCGGTCAACAGAAAATATCGGCCCCTATGTCAACCCTCTCTGTCACAAACAAAAGACAAACTCCACGGGCAGACACAGGTGATAATTATCAGGCCACACCCACATAGACACACACACAGACATATATTCAAACACACTCACTCCCTCTTGTGTCCAGAGCAAAACGCATCCATGCCTCTACAACACGAGTCTGCGTTAGTCTGTGTTGGGCGCCTTGGCCTCGTATCCGTGGTTACCTGATCCGACTCCGGGTTCAAAGCATACTGGATGTTGCACTCCCCCACGATGCCGAGGTGGCGGATGACTTTGATGGCCGTGTTGCGCAGCATGTTGTACTCATAGTCGTTCAGAGTCTGACTGGGGGCCACCACTATGGACTCCCCGGTGTGGATGCCCAGGGGGTCGATATTCTCCATGTTGCACACCTAAAAAAAAGGAAGCCAAAACATCATCAAGGTGGTGGGGATGCATGTTGGAGACTATGTGGGGTCACGGGTGCCAACCACTTCCATATTTTTTGGGAATGTCAAGTTATAATTAACTATTGGACACAGATATGTGAACTAAAATTCCCCTTAAATGTGAAACGCTGTATTTGGGTGATGTTCCTGTGACAAATTGGAATAACACTGATAAAAGATTACTTGGTACGTTACTTATTGCAAATAAAAAGTGGCTGAGAGTGGAATCTCCAACTATTGAGGACTGGATTAATATAATACACGAAATATATGTCATGGAAAAGTTGTCTTTTTCCCTCAGGATGCAAAAGGACATGTTTTACAAAATCTGGACTAAATGGACTGAGTATATAAAACATTTTGTTTTCAGATTTAGTATGAGCAATACGTTTCTGTACTTAAAACCTTGTCTTTTATTTATTGGCATGCTTCCCAAATTTGTTTATGTTTGTGTTTATATATGTTTGATACTGTAAAAACGTTTAAATTTAAAAATGATAAAAATAAATTAATTTAAAAAAAGGGCCCACTCACTGTGATGCAGTTGTCGTAGGCGTCTCGGACCACTTCGTACTCGATCTCCTTCCATCCCTTGAGGGATTTGTCCACCAGCACCTGGGAGGTGTGGGCGAAGGCCGCCGTTACCAGGGCGACCAGCTCCTCCCGGCCGTTGGCGAAGCCGGAGCCCAGACCGCCCAGAGCGAAGGCGGAGCGGACCAGGACCGGGTAACCCAGGCGCTCCGCCGCCGCCACCGCCTGCAAAAAGACGAACGGGGGAAAACTGAAAACCCCCCAAAAAAACAGGAGAATAAAATGGTGGAACGGAGATCCGTGATCTGAACGGCGCCCGACCTGCTCCACGGACAGCGCCGCCTCGCTGGGGGCGACGTGCTCGTTGATCTCCTCCATTTTCTCCACGAAGACCTTCCTGTCCTCCGTCATCTCGATGGAGGCCACCGGCGTTCCCAGGACCCTGACGTTGTACTTCTCCAGCACGCCCAGCTTGGTCAGCTCCACGCCGCAGTTCAGCGCCGTCTGGCCGCCGAAGGTCAGCAGAACGCCGTCGGGACGCTCGTTCTTTATCACCTGTTGGAGCAAACGTTTAAACCGTCCATGTTATTTGTGGTCGTGTGTGGTGACATAACAAAGTCACATCTGGCTGGACTAGGGTTGTCAAAAGCATCGATACTCAAAAAATACTATCTAAAAAAAAAAAGTATCGATACTAAAACGTTGTTTCCAGATACGACACTCATTTTAAAAAGTATCGATACTCCTCGCCCCCTCCCCGACCGGCCAACGCTGCGCCCCTTCCCTCTGATTTATTTATTTATTTACATTGTTTATGATCATTAACGTGACGTTAGCCTTGAATTGCTAGCTGTGGCTAATGGCTAATAATAACACGCCAACATTAATGTGGGCCACCAGCCACCATAACATCAGTAATAAGTAAGTTTGTAATGAAAGACACTAAACTGTCGAAATTCAGTTAAATTTTGGGGTCTTTGTTTTTATCCTTGTGGTATCTAAAATGGTATGGAGTATTGAATATTTTCCTGAGTATCGGTATCGAGTTGAAAATGTTAGTATCGTGACAACCCCAGGCTGGACTATGAAACACATAAAACCATACCTGGGTGACGTATTCTGCTGTGATTGGCAGGAAGTAGACTTTGTCCGCGAGACCTTTGGAGGTCTGGACAGTGGCGATGTTGGGGTTGATCAGCACCGTCTGGACATTCTCCTCCTTCATAGCCTTAATAGCCTGTTAAACAAAGCAGAGTCCGATCAGAAAAAGCCAAGATGCCCGTGAGCTTTAAAAGTAGGAACTCTGCACTCATCCACCCGTTTGATTTGATACTTTTTCAGGTTTTGAAACTGGGTAAATCAGAAAAACTAAGCCAAAAAAGTACTTTTCTGTGTATTCAAAACCACCGATAGCTCAGAGCTCATCCGGTACCGACCTGTGAGCCCGAGTAGTCGAACTCTCCAGCTTGGCCGATGGACAGACCCCCAGAGCCCAGGATGAGGACTTTCCTGGGTCTGACAACCTCTTCAGCTTTCGGGGAGCCGGGGTACGTGAGGTGGTCCAGCAAACGCTGCTTCACTGGAAGAAAATGATTAAGAGAAACTTGGTTTGTGTGTAAAATTAAAAGTCTGAGAGGTTCATAAATAAAGCAGCATCAGAGGCAGGTGACCATAAAAACCATAAACGTCTCAGGAGCAGGATAATTAAATCAAACTCTAGTTACCAGATTTAGCAGAAACTCCCTCTTTGTGGTCTTTCACGGTGTCGAGGAAGACGTCAAACAGGCTCAGCAGGTCTGTGGGGCCGGCCATGTGCTCGGGGTGGAACTGGACACTGCAGGAGACCATCGTCAGCTTTAGGGTTGTCAAAAGTATCGATACTAAAACGTCGTATCTGGATACGATACTCATTTTCAAAAGTATCTATGCTGCGTCCCTGCACTCTGATTTATTTATTTACGTTATCATTAACTTGACGTTAGCCTTGGATAGCTAGCTGCAGCTAATGGCTAATAATAACACGCCAACATTAATGCAGGCCAAGTTTGAAACGAAAGACTCTAACCTGTTGAAATTCAGTTAAATTTCGTGGTATTTGTTTTTATCCTTGTATCGGAAATGGTATTGAGTATAGATTATTTTCCTCAGTATCCAGTTGAAAATGTTAGTATCGTGACAACCCTAGTCAGCTTTCCATTCATTCCTTTGGGCCTGGGACCGTTACCTGAACAGGGGTTTGGAGTTGTGCACGATGCCCTCGTTGGTGTGGTCGTTGGCGTTGGTGAAGAGCACGTCCCAGTCGGCCGGCAGCGTGTCGGGGTCCACCGCGAAGCCGTGGTTTTGGCTGGTGATGAAGCAGCGGTCCGTTCCGTTGTGGACGCACGGCTGGTTGTGGCCGCGGTTTCCATACCTGAGAAAAGGGGGAAAACAGTCTTTAGACCCTCTGACACCGAGGCTGCCGCTTCATTTCTGACCTAATCGGTTTTCTAATGCAGCAATATTGAGAGGAAGAGCTGAAATGACCCTTTTCACAGAGTTCAGGGGACTTATTCAACCATTTCAAGTAAGAATTTAAAATAAAAAGGCAGTAAAATAACGTAAATTCAGTCTGATACATGAGGTTGATGAGAAACCTGCTGTCTTAATGACCACATGATTTAATCTGATCCCAGCAAAGACTAAGTATGAATAGTTGTGGCTTGTCATAATAATTCACTGAAGGATCTGCTGGTTATTAGCCTTCGACATTCCAGCTGGGTAATGGGAAGAGTCTGAACTCGGAGCTCCTGTTAGGGAACTATGGCTCACACAGACGTGGCCTGGAGGTGCAGGTCGCCTCAAAGAAGCCGCCAGCGTTTCTTTGAGCCTTTTTAAAAACACGGCCGCTCAGTCCAACCCTCCGGTGCCGAATACTGAAAGCCGGAATGCTGACTACAGCAGAAATCAGCATTTCACAGCCCGACTCTCCCAAAGACTGAAAGTGGGAGAACCTGTCGGGTCACTGAGGCCATATTTCTGTCCTCAACTTGTTCTAAAAAGAATAAATTCATTCAAATCTACCAGTTGCTGGATGGGTTCACACCAACAACTTGCCTCAGATTCAAATCTTAAATCTAACCCGGTGGGTGTATGAAAGGTGCCGTGATGACTGAGGTACTCACTTCATCTTGTAGGTCTTTGCCCCGATGACCAAAGAGAGCAGCTGGTGTCCCAGACAGATGCCGAAAACCGGCTTCGGTTGATCCACACAGACCACCTTCCTCACGTTGTTGACGGTGGCCGTGCAGAACTCGGGGTCCCCGGGTCCATTACTGATGAACAGACCGTCAAAATCTGAAAAATAGGATTCAACAACGCTCGTGTAAACAGAGATAAACTATTTATTATGCTGCAAGTGTATTTCTGAAGTATGTGAGAAGGTTTCTCTTTCTGTCTTTTTCACAGTTTGAAAACATGTAACACAAAAAAAGTGATTTTTGTGAGACTATTTTTAAATTGTACAAGAACATAGAAGCATGTTCTGATACTTGATGCTCTGCATGTCCCCTTTTAGGAGAAAATGGAAAATATTCAGTCTTGTAGAAGTCAAAGATTTTTCTGTTTCTTTTCCCTTTTCGTTTTCTAAGCGAAATGTTATCCCTAGAGTTTTTTTTCCTTTAATTGTGTGAAAACTAAGTAAGAGACCCATTTGTTCAAAAAGTTATCAAGAAGGCATTCTGAATAATGGAACAAGACAAAACCTGAGCCACTTTCACATAACAGGACTTCCCGCACCTTCACCGATTTAGAGAATTTAAACTACGTTTCTAAAGCTTTCAATCCCTCAAATGGCTACAAGCTACATTGTTTTACAGACCAGAGACATCCAGCGGGTGGTCCCACGGCACCACTGTGACGCGGGCCCCTCTCCGGGCCAGGCAGCGGATCTGGTTGTACTTTATGCCGCAGTCCAACGCTGTGATGCGCAAGCTGCCACTGGGGTTGAATATCCTCGGCTCCTACAAACAAGAAACCGAAGAAATAAAGACGAATTAAAGTCAAACAAGTAGCTCACTCAAAACAATCCAAAAAATGTGTTCCTTTGTTTCTTTATTAGGGTTGTCAAAAGTGTGATACTCAAAAAAGTATTGATACTAAAACGTTGTATCGGGATACGATACTCATTTTTATTTATTTATTTACGTTGTTTATGATCATTAACGTGACGTTAGCCTTGAATTTCTAGCTGCGGCTAATGGCTAATAATAACACGGCAACATTAATCAAGTCCGTCTGGCTGCAGACTGCAGGAAGCCAAGGATGGATATCCAACTCCCCCACATCCAAGTCGGCCATTTTGATTAGGTCGCCAACAGGAAGATCCCAGGCAAGAAAATCTTAATTGCTTCATGGCAATATAGACATTAATTTAAAAGTAGTGAAATTAATCTTGCAAAAACTCAATTCAACTCTATACATAATATTATGTCAAAATAGTGGATGTTAAATAGGTTTGTACAATAAGTCCAAACAACTTTAACCAAAAAATATTTATTTCTCACAATTATGAAGGGTGGAGGGTTAGGGTAATTAATGTGGGCCACGATAACATCAGTAATAGGTACCTTTGAAACAAAAGACACTAACCTGTCAATTCATAAATTTTGGGGGCTTTGTTTTTATCCTTGTGGTATAGAAAATGGTATCGAGTATCTAATATTTTGCTGAGTATCGGTATCGAGTTGAAAATTTTAGTATCGTGACAACCCTACTCTTTATACATGGCTACCTTATCTTTCTGCCTCAACCGTTTTAAAGGTGTTACGACACGGCCATATTGACTGGGTTACCTTCATGGACACCTCCTTGACCAGGTTTCTCTGGTTCGGGTTTTCCAGGGGGACGCTGTCTTCAGGAGTCCCGTCCAGAACCAGCTTCCCCAGCATGGTGCCCTTCTCCCGGATCTTTTTGGTCAGCCGGCGGGTGTCCACCCCTGGAGCGGGCAGGAAGTCAAAGGCGGGGTGAGTCTTGGCTAATTTGATCAACTGAATTTTGCTTAGTGGACGATTTTCGGACCTTGCAATCCGGGAATGCCTTGCTCTTTGAGCCACTGGTCCAGAGACTTGACCGAGCTCCAGTGGCTGGGACTGTCCGACAGCTCTCCAATGATCAAAGCCGCCGCGTGGATCCTGGATGACTCGAACCACTGAGAGGTAAAACACACAGAAAAAAATGAAAATTGTCTTACAGTCAAGTGTTTATGTTGCAGAAAGGGAAAAAAAGGACAACTCTGTTGGTTGGCTGTTGTCTCCTGTCCATCCACAGTCCTGAAAATTCAGCATTAAAAATAGATGACACAGACCGGGCATGTCCAGCGTGTTTCTTGCTCATCTGCATCAGTCTGTGTGACCTAGATAGCATCTGTTGTTTCTATTCCTCCCCTCCTCACTATTTTACATCGTACTTACACTATACAGAAATGTACATCCTACATCTAACACTGTTCTTACTGCTTCATCTCTTCAATTTTCCATTATGGGAAGTTTTTCCTTCTTCGTTTAAGTTTGATCAAAGCTTTGAAAGGAAAAAAACAAACAAAAAAATCCCTACCCTGCTCAGTCCAAACTCTCCCTCCTCATCCTTCGGTACTCCGTAGTTTCCGACCAGAGGGTAGGTGAGTGTGAGCAGCTGGCAGCGGTAGGAGGGGTCCGTCAGGGCCTCTGGGTAGCCCACCATGCCCGTCTGAAACACTGAACAACCAACGCATCTCTCATCAAAACATAAACAGCAGCATCAGTCACACCCAAACTGGTCAGAAATAAAAAAATAAAATAAATCAAGGTAAAAAAAAATAAGTTTTTTTTCAAGAACACCCAGATCACGTTAAATGTAATAGCTTAAATAGAAGAAGCCAAACTTATTTTTCTTGGTAATTGGTTTTTATCTCAAATACAAAATGCTTTTTTAGTTTTCAGAACTAGTTTGTGTTTTGTCTGATTTGGTCACTGTAAGGAACAGAAATGTCATTGATTTGGGCAAAGAGGTTAAAATCTAAAAAATGCTTTAATAATGCTTTTCAGTTCATTTTTCCAGGTTTTTACTTTAATTTGACACCAAACACAGTCTGCGCTTAACAGTTATACACATTAAAGCTTCAGTTTCTAACTTGTTACTTTAAAGAACACATATTAAATGTGTTTTTTCTGCAAAGACAACTGCAATTTCAATCCCAAATACTATTGATATCCAAATTCATGAAATTCTCCTCTCTGACATGAAAGGACACAATCTACTCAAGTCTTCTTCAAACTTTGTCCCCCTTTTTCCTCATCGGCACAATCTCAGGTCTCACAGATCAAAGTCTGCCTTTGAACAAAACCAGGATTGCTTCAGCTTTAATTCGGCACGCCAGTTATTCTTCAGGCTAATAATTACGACATAGTTCAGCTCTGAAAGAGTGAGTCAGACAACATGTTCATACATCACTCGGCAAAATGGGTCCACTTAAATAACCACTAAATTCACTGATTTTTCAATGGAATTTGGCATCACTTTTCAATTATTGATTTTTTTTGTTAAAGTTATCTTAAAAAACAACGGTCTGTGATTGATGAGAGCATTTTAAGATTAACCTGTAGGTGGCCCCATACCGAGATAAAACTTGATAGTCCCAAGAAATGTTACATGGACTTACCAACTTCTCCAGAAACCGACACACTTGCACCAAAAAGGCGGCCACTAAACGTCGCCCCGTCCTCCAAAATCAAGGTTGCCATCTTTGCCATTTTGTGCAGAATAGTTAACGTTAAATACTGAAAACTGAAGGATGTTCAGAAGCGGTGAGAAGTCGCTGTGAAGTCCACGTGAAGAATCCCAAGCAGCGAAAAGCGGGAAGAAGTTGAAAATGAGCAGAAAAAAGCAGCAGTTAAGTCGAGCTTTGGCCGCCAAAAAAAAGCCTCACAGCGCGAGGACGTGTCCTCTGTCAATGGCCGAATAAAAAATGGAAAAAGGAGGTTAATTGGAGAATTGGCCGTTTTGTCGGACGGGGAGATGCAATAAAAGTGTTCCACACGCGCCGCCAGCCGCGTGGAAGTCTCCCGGCGGCCTGGGCCCGACGGTTTGACGCCCAACGTCACGAACTTCCGTTGGGAAAATTTCAAAATAAAACGTTCCATCACGCTTTTAAATACATCAGAGGTAAAAATAAATAAATAAATAAAAGAAAAGAAAAGAAAAACAAATATGAATAAATTGAGTGAAATAAAAATATATCAAAAAGTGATCCCTATTTATGTGTAATTTATATTGATTCAGTTGTTTCTTAACCCTTGAAAAGTGTAATTCAAACCCAGGTTTTCTGAAGGTTTTTTAAAGTTTTTGTTTGGAAAAAGATTCCACTTTCATCAGTTCTATTACCAGATCATTTAGTCAGAAAGGCAAAAATTCAAATTTGATGTTTTTTCTTAATGGTGTGCCACAAGTATCCATCATTTGGTCATTTTTATGTATTTGCATCTATAAAAACAAACAAACAAACACACACACACAAACCAAGCTAATGTTTTACATAAATGATTAACAGGGTGAATTTCACAAGAGCCATTAGCTGAAAATCTGGCATAACTCAGCATTGTGTGAAGTATATCCTTTAAAACATTTGATAAATCAAGTGGTGAACACAAGAAGAGGTTTGGGATTGAAAAACTAGCAAATGAAAAGGATCTAAAGTGATTTCCCCAAGAAAGAGAAAAGAATCAAGCAGATTTGAAAGCAGAGATCAACTAATCACAAAGATACAGATACACTGAGTGGCACAAGACCTTTGGACAGTTCCATTGTCAGGCAAGTGGAAATGATTGAACAAAGAAAGAGGTTTACATTATAATTTCAGTGTGATGACAATAAATAAGGAGATGCAAATGTATCAAAGAGGTATTTTATGTATTTTATCTATCAAACTGTAAGACAGTTTAAAATGATTATTTAAGATTAACTAGTTTTTGCCTGATCTCAGATTGCAATTGCAGTGAAAAAGGAAGAAATAAAAATATATTCATTCAACGAGTCACGATTTAATTTGAAGGCAAAGCCGGCAATTTCCGGCAGAATCTCGAAATTTAATGTCACCTCATTTCATTCATTGAAAAGAGTGAAGTCGGGGAGCAGTAATTAAAACCCAGTTTTGCCAAACTTGCATACCAATTTCGTGTGAAAGTTTAATAGTGTAAGAAACAGCTTGTGTTCTACTCGCTATACAAGTACCTAGAAAACAAATAAGTGACTGTTATCTGTTTGTCTATCCCAGAACTCCTTAATTTGAATCTGATTAACCTGATTTAGTTAGAATTAAATTTGTACCCTGTTGAAAGAAAAAGACAACCTATTTTCTATCAGGACAATGATTTGCATATCAAACATTTTTATCCAGAAGTCCAGTGATTTAAGGACAGATACTTTATTATTCAACTTGCCAAAGTTCATGATCAAGCTGCCGTGGATAATTGCAAGACAAGACATGTGAAACACATACAAAAAACACTACTTTTTGCAAAGAATCAATCATCAAAATCAGGAGAAGGACATTTTAAAGTAGTGCCACGACCAAAATTTGGATGTCCATGAGTATACCACTAGGCCTGTTTAAATACTATGCCTCCTCTTCCGTATCTATAGAAGGGGATGTAGCTCAGTGGTAGAGCGCATGCTTTGCATGTATGAGGCCCCGGGTTCAATCCCCGGCATCTCCACTCTTTTCTTGCAGCCCCCAATTATATCACAAGTTTTTAATTTCTTCAGCATTTTTCGTCGTTGGTAGTAGCTGTTATAACGCTGCCACGTGAATACGTGTACAGTTTTAGATTTTTTTTTATCTCATTCAGTGGAGCTTTGTGTAGTCAGTGACACAGTGTCGTTTAATTATCACAGACAAGTTCAAAACTATTAATATCAACTGTTATATCTTTCTGGCTTCTTAAATGTCTTTATTCGTGTATATAACCTCTCTAATATGAATATTTGGGGGGAAAAAACAACTGCTTTCACATTCCCGGTGGACTTAAATGCACCATGAGGCCCCGCCCCCTGTGGTAACTAAGGAGATCACCGTTATGTTTACTACAAAGATGTCCACCTTGCTAGCTGCTAGCTTGGTTCTGGACAGAAAAAGAGCCAGACTCTGAATACCTCAGTGCTAATAGGACTTTTGTAGGGCTTCTGCCGATCTCTGAAAATGCAGCTGAAGCATCTGAAGACGCTTTTAACCCCTCAGGTACGTTCAGGGACCGGTTAGCGGAGGCTAGCTGATGCTGGAGAGCCAAATCAGTTTAAACGTGTATCTGGCCTGACCGTCTTATAAGTCCCTCAAATGTTTGGCTTTTTTAATATCCTATGCATTAAAATAATCAATTTTATTCTAGAAGAACATAGATTTTTGAAGTTCTTTTTTTTCTTTGCTTGCTAACAGTTCAGGTGTTGCGTCTGTTTAGCTAAATACGGTATTTTTCATCATTTTTCATTGTTTATAATTGTGTTCTTGAAGTCTCTTGGCAGATGACTACATCAGCTTTATCAGCTTTAGCCATTACACCACCCAGATCCGGCATTGGCAGTGGCTCCTTCCCCAGGGCTGCAAGGCAGCAGCCAAATTCAGTTTTCACTGTTTTGACTGAAGACAGTTTTCCTTTCTTCCTCAGGAGGGTGTTGCTAAAGTGACATGCATGGCCTGGGCACCAAACAACACCAAGTTTGCCGTTTGCACTGTTGACAGAGTGGTGCTGCTTTACGATGAGCAGGGCGAGAGGAGGGACAAGTTCTCCACCAAACCTCTGGACTCAAAGGTGATGCTGTGAGCATCAGGTGTAATAGATTAAGACTGAGGGGTTGTGTTGAAATCAGCCTCTTGGTACTCTACAATGTGCTGGGAAAAGGGTAGAGGACCAGAGTTTAAGACCACTGCTGTAAAACTGTTTTTTATTGGGGTATTTTCAAGTGATGGTTGGTTCCATGCTTGTGGGTTAACCTCTAAATTGAGGGAATAAATTAGATGCTTTCAAACAATATTTAGAGGATCTGAACATGTGAAGGCCTGGAGTGAAGTATCTACATTTTTTGTTGTTCCTGTGGCATCAAAGTCTCCTTTCATGACATTTTGAATGAAAATGTTTTCCAGTTTGGAAAACAGAGCTACGCTGTCAATGACATGGTCTTCTCGCCGGACTCCACCAAAATCGCCATCGGCCAGTCGGACAACATCATCTTTGTGTACAGAATCGGGGAGGAGTGGTATGGTCGATGTCTTCATTTAATCTTCTGCATTCAGATTCCTTTTTTAAGGAACATCCGATGAATCCCCAGGGACTTTAATCAGTGTTAATGTCTTTTCTAGGGGGGACAAGAAGGCCATTTGCAACAAATTTGTTCAGACGGTGAGTAAAGAGGCAACATTTTAAGGCTTTATAGGTATGGCTGCTTCTTCAAAGTTCAATGAGTATTCTTTGAAAATTGAAAGATAATTTGGTATTGGAAATTTCTGTTTAGCTTGAGGAAACATTTTCTATGGTTGAAACAGCTAAACCCAATTTCTAGACTGGTTGGGAGACTTTTTGGGTCCTTAAAACTTTTAGACCGACGGTGTGTGTCTATCGAATGTGGTTTTTTTTTTGGAAGCCATCAATCAGGACCCGTTTTGAGCAGAAAGTCTATTTTTTTTCGGCTTTTTCCTGCTCCTGTACCTGATGGTGTTGCTGTGCTGGCTGTGTTGCAGAGTGCCGTGACTCGCCTGCTGTGGCCGGCAGACAACGCCATTGTTTTCGGACTGGTTGACGGGAAGGTGAGTCGGCCACAGGTGGAGCCTGAGGGGTAGAGTAATGGAGTAGAGGTTTGTTAGAGCAGGACAAATGACTGAGAGGTGTGAAAACTAAAACTAATCCACCATTAGAGGGATATTTACACCTCCCAGCGCCTCAGCAGAGCCACAACCTTCACTCAAAAACAGCTTTTTTCATATGGCGATAACCACCCAGAGCTCCCACACGCACATACAAACCCTTCCCTTTCTTTAAAATGAAATTAGAACTGTCAAAAATATAATATCCCACCCTAGAATGATCAATATCAATAGTTTTTTACCCTACAGCGTGCAATATTTACACCCATATATTTCACAATGTGTATGGCCATATATCTATTTCTACAATGTACCCAGAACTGTGCACCCTACCTCATAATATCCATGCTGTATATATTTTTTGATATTTGATATTTTGTTGTTTTTGCTCTTTTTGGAGCCGACAGTGATTCTGAAATGTCCCCTTTTTTTTTTTCACAGGTTCGGCTGGCCAACACTCAGACGAACAAATCTTCCACCATTTACGCCACAGACTCCTTGGTCGTCTCGTTGGCTTCCAAGTAAACTCACTTTTAATTAAATTAAATTAAATTCAGTTTTATTTATATAGCGCCACATCACAACAGCAGTTCTCTCACAGCGCTTTCCAAACAGAGCAGGTCAGACCCTACTCTGAAGTTAACTACAGAAACCCAACAATTCCCACCATGAGCAAGCACTAGGCGACACAGGCAAGGAAAAACTTCCTTTTAACAGGCAGAAACCTGGAGCAGAACCATGGCTCAGGGTGGGGGGGGCATCTGCCTCGGCCGGTTGGGGGTGAGAGAAAGAGAGAGAGGGCAAGAGAGAGAGAAGGACTCTGTCCTCCAGCCAACACAGCAACACATAGACTGGATGAAAAATGGCAATGATATTAATACTAATGATAATGGTAGAAGTTATGACGGCAACAGAGCAGGAACACGGGGGCAGCAGGAAACTCCCAACCACAGATCCAGACTCCACT